AAATGCTCCAATCTATTCGTGGGGAGCAACACGTGCTGGGAACCGGGCCCAGCGTCCCATGTAGAATATACAAATGATTTGGAATACCAGGGCCATTACCTGGCTTCGGCTAGGAACAATCTGAAAAGTATGAAAAACGTTCAGGAAGATTTAGGAAAAACGTGGATAACTATTGACCTATTGCTAGGCTACTCAAGCAGCAATTACCACAAAAGTCCTTCGATTCACCAAATCCCTTGAACGAATGTGCAAATGTGCCCGAGAGATTTCCTTGGGTTCCTCGGAATCCCCAGCCAAAACGTCCTTGGATTCTTTGGTTAAAGGAGCTGCGATAGACGGAGTGTTATGGAGCGAGCACCCACAGGAGAATTCAGAGTCGATGTCGGTGCACAGGTCATCCGTGGTCCATTGGGCGGACATCCCCGGCTTCCAGTACCCGACGGGCCGCCGATGACCTTTCAATCATTACCCTTGATGCGAAAATGTGTGGGGCCGGTTCTTCAGCTGCAAGGCGCTTCATGGAGCGGGGTTTTACGTGCGTGCGTCAATGGTCGTGGTGTCCAACAGTCGAATTTTTCAATTTTAGTACAAGCGACGTTGAAGCACTGTCGGACGATTGCAGTTATCCACGTAGTGTGTTTTGTAGGCTATAGTCGGTCAAGGGAATGCAATCTTTGTTTGGTACACGCCTCACGTGCTGCAATTCATGTCAGACGTCCTCATGCGGTTCCCGATCCTGCTGCTGGCCACTCTTCTCCTGCTCGTTGTCGTGTTGTTCCATGTGTGCGTCGTTATGCGGGGTCCTCACAATGAACGGAAACGACGAAATTTGAGGAAGATGACGATGGACAGGTGTGAACCCTCCAGCAGACAACCAGCGCGTGCCGTTGAATACCCCGATCTAGAAGCGACGACTGGGGCGCGTCATGTAGATGCGTATGACCCGACTTTGTACAGTCGTCTCCCGCCTCACGAGCAACCGTTACCGCCGGATCCCGAAGAGCAATGGGTGGATGATTTGTCCCGCACTTTGCCTCTGGGTAGCGGATCGATGGAGGACTGGATGGGGAGCCATTGTAGACAAAGGGAGGCCGCGACAAGTCGTCATTCGTTCTCTGCTCTACTAGAGAATGATATCGGTGGAGGCGGTACAGAGATTGTGGACTTGAATTTTGGCTTGTCAAGTGGGAGTGTTGCAACAACTACACACACTAGCACGTCAAACCCAGTGTCTGGCGTGAGCGTCTATGGATCGAGCGTGCATGGTGGAAGGTCCTGTCCGCAAGGTGCGAGCCCTGATGGGTGTCGCCCACCGCCTTCATTTTCTCGAGGTGCGAGATTATCTGGTGACATGTTGGGGACGTCGTTGGCCCCCCCTTCGGCATTGCCTTTGACTGCACCACGCCAGCGGACGACCACACTGGTGGCGATCGCAAACGTCGACGGATCGGAGGAAGGTGGCAGGCAGGAGTGAGAGTCATGTCACCGACAGATACATAGACAAAAAGATACACTTGCAAGGAACCAGCACGTGAGAAAAAAAACATTTCGAGCAATAAGAACTAATTGAGGACCATATAGGAGTCCATAAAACCGAACGCACAATTAATCACGCTGAAATAAACCAAAACAAAAGGCATTGAACACCAATGGGCCTAGCTCAGTTTGTACACCCACAAACTGTTGAAATACAAAGTATTACAAACCCAAGTTTGAATCCAGATACAATAAGATGATTGGAATAAAATGACTCTGAACTATCTGGGTCCGTCAGTTCACTAATGATATCTCAAGGCCGTGACCCTAAGAAAAAAAAAAAAAAAAAAAAAAAAAAAAA